CCTAAGGGTGCAGTCCCATGGAGCGTATCGCGCGTATCGCGGATTAGCGGATCGCCAATCACAGAATCGTTCTGTTAGATCTGTTTACAAATTTTGTAAGCAAATCTAACAGAACGATTCTGTGATTGGCGATCCGCTAATCCGCGATACGCGCGATACGCTCCATGGGACTGCACCCTTAGTGTACGTTCCACTTAACGTTCGCAACGCTCGCGAGGATCATTTTGTCCTTCTTGTAATCGAATATTAAGTAAGGATGCGATGATACACGCGATCGTTGCAAACGTTAAGTGGAACGAACCCTTAGCGAGGTAGGGAGAAATAGTCACTCTCGAAGTGGTTCGGGTGTGTTTTCGAACGCAACAATCGAAAGTCCATTGAGAGTATCGAAGCATTTTCGAACGATTCTCGGGAGGATCGAGGCACTCAGGTGATGTTTTCGAACGCGGCCCTGGTCTGTAGGCTTCTTGAGTGTCGGCACCTTTGATGTAGTAGGCATGGTGTAAGTAGAAAGGTGAACCATTCCGATGGATGCGCAGTAAAGAAGTAGTAGGGGCAGTCGCAACCAATTATACTTTGAGCTTTTATGCGAAATCTTCAATATGGCGCAGAATAAAAATCTGAACAGCGCTTCGAAAACGCTTTACACGCGCGCTGCAAAAAAAGCTCAAACCCTGATTGGTTAAGATCTCAAATCTCCGCCATTATGCGCAATGGTTCACCTTTATACTTACACCATGTGCTGCGTTCGGAAATATCACTCGAGTACCCCCGTGTATCGTCTTATCCTTGTTTGACATTGAATGAATAACAAGGATAAGACGATACACGGGGGTACTCGAGTGATATTTCCGAACGCAGCAATGGTAGTAGGTTCCAGGTCACGTGGTATACCGCCATATTGTTAAATGTATCGGCGCTGCGATTAAAACGTATGCACGGAAATATAGCACAAGACTTCCACTCCTTTCTCATCCCTTTTCATATGTCTCCTCATTACTTCTTATTTTTTTTATTTTGTAATATACGTGCAATATCGGGTGTTAGATTATTTGTGTCTTCATATGTTGGGACATCCTGAATAAAATACATTTTTGTCATTTGTGAATGAAAAAGAAATTTGAAATTACTAGTTGAAATTACAACATTACGCGTTGGGTGCATTTCTCTTAGGCTGGGTCCACAACCTTGCTTTAAGAGGCCGTAAGCCGTAAGAAATTGACCAATCATAATTCAATGCGAGAAAAATAATATTCTGTGATTGGTCAATTTCTTACGGCTTTACGGCTTAGGGCCTCTTAAGGCGAGGTTGTGGACCCAGCCTTAAGCGGGTTAATTCCATTGGACTAATCGACCGATTACGTTAATCGGGGTTAGTTAAAGTGGTATTTATATAATAATAATCCCGGCGCAACAGAGCGGCGCAGCGGTGAAGCGGCGAGCGATAGCCAATGAGGGCCATGCTTTTACGCAAAAGCATGGCTCTCATTGGCTATCGCTCGCCGCTTCACCGCTGCGCCGCTCTGGTCTGTAGGCTCCTTAATATTTGTACTCTGGACGCATCCATATTGTTAAATGCACAAATTCACACATGCGTACTGAAATTTGGTCAAGGTCAAACCAGCTATTGTCGCTACTGGGTATGGTTATACTAGGTGCTTTCCACCTACGACACAAATTGTGACACAGAGTCAAGTTCCGAAGAACCGCTCGACCAAGACGGACGCGTCTCGGTTCGGGTGCTTTCTACTTTATATTTTTGAAAGTGTTGCCGACTTCGACTGAGCAATTGAATCTCAAGGATGGGTGTCCGCGGATTGGCTCGTCTCGATTGTTCGGCGTTTCGTCGACAGGGCTGCGTTCGGAAACATCACCCAAGTACCCCCGTGTATCGTCTAATCCTTGTTGTTCACCCATGTTAAACGAGGATAAGACGATACACTGAGGCACTCGGGTGATGTTTCCTAACACAGCCTAGGTCTCCTGATGCGCGTTGTTGCGGTATGACGACGCCGTAGACGCAGGCGCCCGGTGACCGTTCGAGCAACGCCATTTTCGCGGGCATTGCATCACCCGTTACTGTTACTACTATAGACTAGAGTCCTAGATATCAGAGAAGCGCAACCGGCTTAAGTCAGTATCGCAAAATTACTAAGAAAAGTATTAAAAATGGCGTCGTTTGCAGACGAAATATGAAATCCACCAATCGTCTATTAGTCAGCCATTTTTAATACCACTGAGTGAATGTCATGATTGGTTGACAGTCAGCTAATCAGGACGCGGAACATCGGTTGCGCTTCTCTGATATCTAGGACTCTACTATAGACGAAATCTGTATTGACGTGATCTGGCCGTATTGTCTCCGTTCACTTTAAGGAGGAGGCAGGAGCCATTAACTAATAAGAAGAAGAGAAGAAGTGACACAGAGTCACACAGTGTCAGGGTGCTCCTTGGAACACATATGTTTCGATAAAGCCCCAATAGATGATTCTATAGTCAACTATAACAAAAAAAAATCTTATTCCTTTCGTTATCCATGCACTGAAATGAGAATCTAACAAGTATTGTGTAATACAATCAATCTCAAGTAATGTAAAAACATTCAACAACAGTATTCACAATTTTACGAGTTATTTAGGATTATGTTACTTTCAAGTTTAACAGGATGCCACTACAAAACACGCTTTTATTTTGTCATGGTTGGTACTTCTAACGACACAGCACTGTAAAACTCACATCTACATCTATTCGCCGTGTCGAGCAGTGTGACACTGTGTAAGGCCGGAATCAGACTACGCATTGAAAATTGAGATTGAAGATTGAAAGATTGAATTTGGGCTAATCAAAATAATAGGAGCTATAATTTCTTTATCTTCATTGGTCAAATTTTAATTTTCAATCTTCAATCTCAACGTAGTCTGATTCCGGCCTAAGGGTGCCGTCCCATTAAGCACGGATCGGAATGACGGATCGGGTATCTCACTAGAATTGAGCATTCCGTTCCAGGGCAGCGATCATGTAACTTTTCCCCTAGAGCGGAAAGGCGAAAAGTGAAAGATTTCACGTGAACTTATGATCATAGAACTCGGCGAAACGTTGAAACGTGAAACTTTTCACGTGAATTTTTCCGCCATCAAATGTGATAGCGGGAAGGTGAAAGTTTAGTGACTCGAAGTAACTAGAACATTGAGATGCAAGAAACGTTTCTAGTTTCTAAAGTTATCATCCAAGGAGAACAAAACAATCAAAATAATATCAATATGACGTCAAATTGACATTATTTTGATTGTCTTTAAAACAATTCTTTAAAACAATCTTTTTTTTTTATTAATGATATTTCTAAGATTATATAGATTTTTATAAGTATAAATGGTAAACATTTACATTTCACTATTATCACGTTATTCATCATAATATATACATTTCCTTTTGTTTACTTGTAACATTCATTGTTATTGCTTTATTTGTTTATTTGTTTTATTTACTATCTATCAGTGATTTACAAGGTAAATAAGGTTATCTCTCATTTTTGGTAATTTCACTTTCCGCTCATTAGTTATATAATCGCACTATATTCGTGGAAAAGTTCGCGTGAAATCACTAAGTGAAAAGTGAAAAGTGAAAAGTTCCACTGGAAATTACATGATCGCTGCCCAGTTCCGTTCCGTGACAGTTTTCTCTACCCGTCCCATTCAGCAAAAACGGAAAGGAATCTAGTTACAAAATATATTTTACCGTTACAATTCAATATTTTAGAGAACTCACAACAATATTATCAGCAAGATAATTGCACAAATTATATGTGTATTATTGCTTCAACTGCTCAAAATAATGAAATATCGATGAATCAAGCATATTTATCAACGATCGACGCGACATTCCGTTCCGTTTTTGCTAAATGGGACGGGTAGAGAAAACTGTCACGGAACGGAACTGGAACGGAATGCTCAATTCTAGTGAGATAACCCGATCCGTGCTTAATGGGCCGGCACCCTTAACACAGTGTCGCCTGTGTCGGTAGGTGGAAATTACATATATGGGTGGAAAGCACCCACTTCATGGTTTACATAGCGAATGTAGTAGAATTAGGACTCTCGGGAAATAAGGAAATAAATAAATATTTTTTAAATGAAACATCTTATATATACGTATGAAAAATATTTATATATTCTGCTGTATTATCTGAATGAAAAATGATTATCGACAATCCGTAAGTTGTCATTTTAATTTTAATTGTATGCACAGACTTCTGTCAATAATTAAATAATCGAATTAATTAAAGATATCTTGAAAAAAAAAACTTGTGTGATGATAATATCTGTAACAAAAAAAATAAAAAATAACCGATTAAACATATAAATTTCTATTGTAGAGCTGAGAGCTTAGGGAAAAAAATTTGCACGGATTATTATGCAGACATTTGGGTGACAAAATGTGCTGTTATTTGCTGAAATATTATTTAATCCGTCTTTATCTTCAAAGGCGTGGCTATCCTATATCAAGAGTCGAATTGAGATATGTGCTCTGTGGCATGGGCATAATAGTACTACTAGAATTTTTTGGAGCATTTGTGCACGTATTTGAGGTCACATATGATGACAACTTTGTATATCCATACAAAGGCAACGTACATGAATTTGTGAATGCTTTGCGACGTAATGAAAAACCTGAAGTCAAACCTATAAACGAGTATAAGTATGCTTTTACTTTAAAACAGCCACAAAAATGTAAGGAAAATGCAGACAGTACGTTTCGTATTGTATATATAGTAAAATCGGCTATAAAAAATTTTGATAGAAGAACTGCTATACGAAATTCATGGGGAATCGAAAAAAGATTCTTTGATATGCCAACAAGAACTATTTTTGTGGTGGGTATGCATCCAAGAGATGGGTATGACCAAGAAATTGAGGCCAAATTAAAGCAAGAGGCAGGGATTTACAAAGATATCGTGCAGGCAGATTTTGTAGATTCGTACTATAATAATACTATAAAAATGATGATGAGTTTCAAATGGTTAGTCAAGTACTGTCCCAATTCAAAGTTTTACATGTTTGTCGATGATGATATGTATGTATCTGTAAAAAATGTAGCGACATTTATTAGAAATCCAGTTAATTATCCATTTTATTTAATGGAATCCAGAAAAATGTACAGTGCGCATAAAAGAGAAATTAAACAGTCGGATTTAATGGATTATAATGATATCAATTTTAATAATAAAAATAAAACATATGATTTAAAAATAAAAATGTCTTTTAAGAAAAATTTAACTATTCGTAAATTTACAAATAATAATAGTCGTAAAAATAATATGCATGAGAAACAAGAACAGCTCAATGAAAATCGTGAAATGGAAAATGAACACTTGCTCAAGCTTTTAAACACATCTATGTCAACTAGAACAAAACAACTTTTTGATTTTGAACTACCAGATGATATTAGACTGTTTGCAGGATTCGTATTTACGCGATCTACGCCACATCGACATAAATTTTCGAAATGGTATGTCACATTAAAAGAATACCCGTATCATTTATGGCCACCATATGTTTCAGCTGGTGCATACATCCTGTCTAAAGAAGCTCTATTGGATTTGTACTACACCAGTTTCTACACCAAGCATTTCAGATTTGATGATATCTTTCTAGGTTTAGTGGCTAAGAAAGCTGATATAGTACCGTTTCACTGCGAAGAGTTTCACTTTTATAAGAAAGCTTATACAAAACATAGTTACACATATGTTATAACGTCTCATGGATATGGAGATTCAAACGAACTCTTAAAGATATGGAACGAACAGAAAACTCTCGGAAATGCTTAAATATACATATAAACAATGCAAAAATTTCACAATTTATACTATTACATGAATTTAGAGACGATTAAGATGATCTTCTATTTAAGACTGAATGGAAAACAAAGTATTACAGTAGCATTATTGGTGAAAATATCATTATAATTGGTATGTGTATATCAATATTAAAAAAAAATATATATATATAAATGTAAATTATAAAATAACAATTATATGAGAACGTTTAATTTATTTTAAAGAATACTCTGTACTCTTTCTAGAATAGATTTTATCCTACATCTCAGTCTTCGTATGTACATATAATATACCGAATATATATTCCCTAAATAAAAAAATCAAATTTATTAAATTTTTAGTATTATACATATTCAAACATAGCATTTAAATGAGACAGAATTATGCTCTAATAGCATTTATCGTTACAATGAATTATGTGCTTAGTACTTATTCATTGCTCTAGTTTATAAATAGGATTATTGTTCAGTTATAGCTTTTATTTAACTACACACACACATACACAGACTGATTAATACTTACTTTCTAACATAATCAAATAACTTTATTAACATATATATGCACTTACAGTTAATAAATTGTACAGACTATAAAAAACTTGTATACTTTAAAAGTCAATATACTTACAATTTTGTACTTTGTTAATTAACGACTACATCTTTGTGATAATTTTTTTCATTGATAATTTAATAAATACATTTTTTAAGTATCTGGTCCTCCAGAAATTTTTTGCCAAGTTTTATTTTATATCTTGGTATCATCTGTATTGCTTATCAATATTAGCTTTACCTAGAGTTTGATCCAGACTAACAGCTTCTTTTTTGATCATATTAAGCAATAATTGGGAACTCTCTAGAATCTACAATAAAACAAATATAACATTTAAGAGATGTAAAATTAATATTCAATTTAAAACAGACTACTCAAAAATATTACCTTTACATATGCTGCCTCAGTGTCGGCAATAGTTCTATCGTATTCGTTTCTGACTGTGATTCTTTTCGCTAAACTATCGTTCAGTTGCGTAAGTTTACACGACATCTTCTCAATTTCGCGTTGCAAATTGTTCTTCTCTTCTTCCTGGGATTCTATCTGAGCTTGAAGTTCTGATCGCCTTATCTTCATCTCTTCTAAACCTAGGAGAACAATTTTTTTTTCTGTTTGTACATGACTACAATAAAAGGTAATCCCGTTTTTCAAAATATTGAGTTATCATAATATCGCCAAACAAAGTAATTTAACATCACCAATATGATGTTTGAATTCCTTTTTTGGAATTTAAGATATCTTAATTTAATATTAGGATTGTGTAACGAAAAAATACTTATATATTATATTTTAGGTATCTAAAATTAGATCACAATCAAAGCTTAAACTAAAGATATCACACTATTTTTTCACAAACTCGTGAATAATGTTAAACAATAATTTTTAGGTTAAACCAAATACATTTGACAAGCTCCTGATTATACGTTTGTAGAGCAGCTCCGTGTTGAGACATCGTGAACTCGTGCACAGGGAACTTCATGTAAAGTGTATAGATTTAAACTGATTTAAACACGTCGATGACAAACAAAACCAGGCAAGACTGTGTCAAGAATGACCGGTGTCAACCAGTGTTCAACCGGTGTTTAACTGTTTACCAACAACCGCATCAAGTGACACATGGTGGCTCATTATCGTTACCAACAACACGAATACCCTGGAACGTTCGGTTGGACAGCTTTGGTTTTAGGCCTGGGCCTGTCCTACCATACGTCGTGTATCGGCGTTGGATGTCGTGCTGTAAGAAATTAACCAATCATGGTTGATTGTTTTCAACTGTGATAGACCAATTTCTTATGGCATAAGGGTCTACGCACAATAGGAGAAATATTAGGAACAGATATTAAATATAAGAATTTTAACCTGTCAGAAAGCGCACATTCCACAGTACACAATTCTGATAGGTTAAAATTCTTATATTTAATATCTGTTCCTAATATTTCTCCTATTGTGCGCAGACCCTAACTACGACACTCCCGACTTATTGTAGAACGGACTTTAGCGCACGGTTTCCGCTTTACGCATGCGTATCAAGAGCTATAAAAATACGAAGATTTCTTGTCCTTTTACCGCGTTACGATCTTATATAAAAATCTGAAAACTGTACGAAATTGGATCTATAGCGATGATTTTTTTAAAATTTATAACAAGTCATCTTTTGTAGCAGCAATGGAAAAACTGCTGAGCTCTAAAAATCAACGCGATAAGTAGATCAGGATAAATTGAAATTTGATTAATCACAGCTTTGAGTTTTTCGGAAAACATAATACGAGTCATAATCACGAAATAGATATTGGCGCCTCATGCTTTAACGGAATTCATTTTGCAGGTTCTGGATATCTGAGATCGGAACTCGGATTAACACTGGACTGCTTTCAAAACCAGTTTTCTTTTTCAGAGCTGGAACTATATTGCATAACATGCGCTCGATCGTAAAATTACTTTCGGCGGGGTCAATATGGAATGTATTCTTATAGATATAATATCAGAGCTATTATCTTGAAGATCTTTCTCTAAACAAAATATAAGAAACATTAAAAAATTGATTTGTAGTGCAAAAACATTCCGTTGTTATCGTACATTTTCATATTTTTAATTAGCAATAGTTAGAATTATATTCTATTCCAAACGTATATCTATATATATATTTACATTTATTATTTATATTTTATATAAAGGAAGGTGCAACTCAATGAAAGCTCCATGTTTGATTTTTCTTTATCAAACTAAAATGCGTTCTTTACATCGTATTTTACATTTTATGCGTTTTGATGCGTATTTTAAATTTGGATAATAATGTAACTTTTTCCTAAAACGTGAAATTGAACTTTTTCATTATTGAAATTTTTATCACACTTTTCGTATTAGGGAAAAAATTGCCGATCACAAATCCTAAAATATAGATCAAATAGACATATATTATCCCTTCGAGACGCATGCAATCGGAGCGACCTAATTTTACGTCCGTTTATTTCGCGCAGAAAAGGAGGAGGAGATAAGGCGCGAGGGACGCGTTGCGTCGGATGGACACGATCGGTACGATCGCGGGCGGCGAGGACTAGTTATAGCGGCTTAGCGCGCGCACACCTGAGCTCACCTTTTAAAGCTGCAGCGGCGCGGCGTCGGACGGAAGCGCGTGGTGGAAAAGCGCACGCCACGATAAACGTATACACTCTGCCTTTCGCTCGCGATCGCGGGTCGCGCGTCGACCATTCCGCAGCGATTTGCAGACGATTCCGACCGCGACTGCTGCCGCGCGAGACGGGCGATCGAGAGAGTAGCGGGGAGGCTCGATCGCGCGCTGCTCCAGGCCGTGTTCTATCGTATATCATTGTATGTCCCGTCTCTCGAGCTTCGCAAATCCGCGCCACACTGCAGAATCGTCGCGAGTGTTTTTCGACCGAGTGCAAGGACGATCGGTCTCGAGCTCGGAGGAAAAAGAAAGAGCTCAGAGACACGTATAGTACTACGTACGGACGGGCGATGGACCAAACGCGGCGAATACTCGCATGATCGATATGTCGCGGCGGCGATCCAGGCACGCCTGCATGTTCCGCACGTCACCATATACGAGGAGAGGACTCGGCTCTGTCCGGTAAGGATTAATATACATGGGGGAATCTCCCAGGTTAACGGTGTAATAAGGTATTCGGGCAAAATCTCGATCAGGACCCACCACATCGAACGGCCCTGCGAGCTAGCTGCTTCCCCAAACGATCTTGCGATCTACACGAAGAGATTCGGAGGCGAGCGCGTGTATGTCCCTTGCAATATTCCCCGTGATCTCTCGGTCCTGCGCTTTGCTCGGACATTTCCTTCTCTCTTTTCTTGGTTTTTCCGGGAATTTATATGATCGTGGGAGGATGCGGTGCGCGCACAGGTCGCGTAGATCTACGGCGCCTGCGCGTCGCAATAATCCGCCGCGCCGCTTCGTCTCCTGCATGCGCCGTTTAAAAATCGCGACTAAAACGTAAAGCAGGAGTTTAATAACCGGTTGGCTGACGAGAGTGAACGTATTTTAGAGGGCGGATGACATTAATCATATCGATACTGTCTATATCGCACACACGCACTTTCCTCATCAAACAAATTCAAGTAAATTCTCTATTTCATTATTAAAAATAAATTTTATGCAATTGTAAAAAAAATCAAATTTTTATATCGCTGTGACGTATGAAAGCTGTTCAATTTCAGAGAAATGATAATTTCTCATCATCTACTTTAATTAAATATTTACTGTTTTATTTCTTATCTAGTGAGAAACGACAATTCGACGTCGATTTTTGGTGATTTCGATGTCGAATCGACATCAATTCGATGTCAATTCCATTGACATTTATTCTCACTGGGTAGACTGTTATTATAATTATGAAACGATTTCGATATCGTCATTGCAATTATCAAGAAATCTTTTGCTTTTAAAATCTTTTTTATAATATAATATAGAAGTCAAAGACCGTCCCAGTATCTGAGAATCCCAGTATTTGGATTGAAATGGATTAAAATGGATTCAGATTTTCAGAAATACGGATTTATGAATGTTAAAATGAATCCTTTTCAATCCGAATACGTTTTTATTCATTTATAGGAATTGGATAGAGCATATCTGTATACCTTTCAATCAAAAAATAATATCAGCTTTTTCAGTGCGTTTGTGACCATAGTGAATATACTGTACAATTCGAAATTTTGAATAGGAAACGCAGTTTTTCAATCCAGTTGCATCCAATTGAATCCAATTGAATCCAAAAAAAAGTTTTCGCTGTTTAAAATACGAATTCGAATAGACAAAATGTCCAATCCATTTTAATCCATTCTCGGATGCTGCGGTAAATACATTATAGTCCGTTGTTCTTGTATTCATATAAGATAGTCTTATAAATACGTGAGAATTGACTTGTATAAATATTGCGTCAAAAGAATGTCGTGACACGCCGAACTCACGTGTACATTTAATATAAAAGATATAATTACATGGAACAGATACGCGATAATTTGTTGTGAAACGAACAATAAGAAGCTATATACTTTGAAAGAATCGCGGGAGAACGATCGAGGAGAGGCAAGGAGTTATGCAGAGTTATATACATGCGCATTTTATATACTGATCGAAGATGTTGCATATGTCCTTGCCAAGTGACGTCATCGTACTAAATAAGGATTTGCCCAATGCGATGAACACGTCGTGGGCATTGCCTACGGTCGCGAGATAATCCCACAATGATGCACCGTTTTGCAATCGTTATGCGCAGGCAGCGCTTAAAGGAACGCCACACCTTACGCTAAATTTGTATTCAATCACGAAGGGGGGAGGGGGCGGGGGAAGTTATATAATATTAAATAAAATACGTCCTAAATGTCGTTATTAAATAAAACTGAAAAGAGAGATACGTGAAAAAAGACAAACATTTTAGACCGAATGTTTTTTTCCTTTCAGTGATGTTATAAAGCATTTTTGTTGCAGGTTGACGATGTCGCATTGTAAATAATGCGTATGGCGCACAATTTTCATTTAAAATATGCATATTTTAAGTAAAAATGGAAACAGATATGTTTCTATGTTACATCTGTGCAGAGTAAGCATAATCATTTTATATCTTTTTATCTTGTGACGACTGCTCAATTCTATAACAATCTATCGATAAACTGATATTTATATTTCTGTTTCAGATGAGCTAAAGAAACTTTATTAAGTTACTTATCCTTGACATTTCTTGTGCACGAATCGACTGATACTTCAAAATGCATACTTCGAAATATGCTGGATATCACATTAACGGAAATCGTGATTATATTACAGATGGTGAAGAGAGTCATAGAGCTCCTTCGGACCGCACCGTGTCTGAGTATATCGTTGCTAACGAACGTACCACTATGGTAATATGCATTTTATATTCATGACAAAGACATTCTTTTAGCTTAAAGCGTATTCTACATACATTAGTCTATATAATTAGTGTACATAACATACATACATTGAAATTATTTTTTTCTCAAATTTTTTATTAAGGTGAAACCTACAAGAAAGAATCCCGCGGACAAGTACGGCAGAGAAGAAGACAGGAGATCCAGAAGCGCGCATAACACTCGCGACTCGGTATTGTCCGGATCTTCGAAGCATAGTTTACATCCGCTTCGTAAAAGTGCCTCGCATGGCAGTATTTGTGACAATGGTTCAGACATATATGTCACCAGTGCTGCATATAGAGCTACTTCTGACATAAGGTCGTTCGGATTTATATACGTAGTATTCAATTTCTCCCATATAAATTACCTTTAATATAAAATGCATTTTGTGTTACAGTCGAGTATCGCGTCGTAGCCTCGCACCAAGCTCCAGATTGGACCACAGAGCGCCTAGTCATTATAGCTATGGGTCCGGCAGGTCAGGCACTTCGACAGTGAAAACTCGTACTTCGCGAAAAGGCGGTATTATTGTGGAAACTATGTCAACGCCTAATCCATTTTGCCCAAACACTAAGGGCGTCTGCTGCCTCATGTTACTTCTTAATCTTGGCTTGATTCTAGTTACTTTAGGCTTCGTTATCGTCATACAATTTTTCCAGCCGTTAGTTGTTTGGTAAGAGTACTATGTAATAAATTTTTACATAGTCGCACACACGGGCGTGACTTACATAAAAAATTATACAAAAATATTTTTTATAATTCAATTATATAGGACAAAATAATTGCAAGTTATATATATGGGACATTCCACGCCAAGTGAGCCACTCAAAAACTTTTGATTTTTTATTTGGCTGAAATTTTGATATATTATAGTATCTATCGCAAGAAACTACCATGATTTTTTTTAAATTTTTTTATCAACATAGTCATAAGATATGAATTTTTTTTAAAACTTGCATTTTTCAAAATTCGCAATTTTCAAATGCCTATAACTTTGCGAAAAGTAATCCAAATAAAATGTTTTTTTTTAAATTGTGTTTTTTTCTCTAGTTTTCAAAAAAAAATATCAAGAAAAGTTTCAAAATTGTTTTTAATTTTTTTTTTTTAAATTCTCATAACTAAGATTTATTTGATGATTTTTAAGACTAATTTGATCGTGGACAAATTTTTCCTTCTATTTTTTTTCGAATTAATTTTTTTTTAATTTTGCATTTTTTTACACGATAAAATAATATATAGGTATAAAATAATTGTACAATTACTTTACAAGAATTAAGCTTGCATGTACAATTACAATTACTTTAGTAATTGTACATGCAAGCTTTATTCTTACATGCAGAAGTGTAGCCGTACTCTTACAAATAAGATTGGACAATAATAACAATTTATAAAAATGAAAAATTATATTGTAAAAAAAATTCATAAGAATGATTTTTTTTAAATTTTTTTATCAACATAGTCATAAGATATGAATTTTTTTTAAAACTTGCATTTTTCAAAATTCGCAATTTTCAAATGCCTATAACTTTGCGAAAAGTAATCCAAATAAAATGTTTTTTTTTAAATTGTGTTTTTTTCTCTAGTTTTCAAAAAAAAATATCAAGAAAAGTTTCAAAATTGTTTTTAATTTTTTTTTTTTAAATTCTCATAACTAAGATTTATTTGATGATTTTTAAGACTAATTTGATCGTGGACAAATTTTTCCTTCTATTTTTTTTCGAATTAATTTTTTTTTAATTTTGCATTTTTTTACACGATAAAATAATATATAGGTATAAAATAATTGTACAATTACTTTACAAGAATTAAGCTTGCATGTACAATTACAATTACTTTAGTAATTGTACATGCAAGCTTTATTCTTACATGCAGAAGTGTAGCCGTACTCTTACAAATAAGATTGGACAATAATAACAATTTATAAAAATGAAAAATTATATTGTAAAAAAAATTCATAAGAAAACGATAATTTTAGTATAAAAGTAATAGCAATCACGGAAACACTTTTTTTTAAATAGGTAAATATAAAAAAATAGGTTATTACATTGAAAATGAACCGAAATTTTAGGAAATGAAAAAGTCATGAGTTTATACCTATATATTATTTTATCGTGTAAAAAAATGCAAAATTAAAAAAAGAAATTCGAAAAAAAATAGAAGGAGAAATTTGCCCACGATCAAATTAGTCTTAAAAATCATCAAATAAATCTAAGTTATGAGAATTTAAAAAAAAAATTAAACGTGTCATACTTTAAAAAATTAATAAGTTTTTTTTTACATTAAATTAAAAAAAAAATTAAAAAACAATTTTGAAACTTTTTTTGAAAACTAGAGAAAAAAACACAATTTAAAAAAAACGTTTTATTTGGATTATTTTTCGCAAAGTTATAGGCATTTGAAAATTGCGAATTTTGAAAAATGCGAGTTTTAAAAAAATTCATATCTCATGACTATGTTGATAAAAAAAATTCAAAAAAAATCATAGTAGCTTCTTGCGATAGGTACTATAATATATCAAAATTTGAGCCAAATAAAAAATCTAAAAGTTTTTGAGTAGCTCACTTGGCTCCATATATATATATATATATATACATATATATATACATGTGCATATCGATTTGTATTTCTAATAATAGTAACGTAAAGAAATTGAAAGCATTATGTGTGCACATTACACAATCGGAGGTGTATATATCTATAAAATTTTATATAAAGCTCATTTTTCTTTAGGATCTTGGGAATAGTATTTTTGGTGTTTGGATTTTTAACACTGATCGGTAGTCTCGTGTATTGCGTACATGTGTTCAAAAATGCCAAACATCCACATGACATCAATCCAGAAGATCTATATTGGACTCATTACTGGCAAGGTCGTGTTGGTTCTACAGCACCTGAAGTTTATTATAAAGCCGAAGACAAATATCAGGACGATGGCTACAGTGATCGATATAGCAAATACTCGGGAAAGTATTATGACAGGCAAAATCAGAGATATTGATTGGAATACGAAGATTAGTACTGATCATTAATTAAAGTATCAATTCATTTTGCCAACTCGCAAGAGATTTGAAAAGACCAATGACGAATAAAAAACTAATCTCAGTGCAATAAAATATACTTATGTATATTTGTGCATATAGATATTGTACTAACATTATTTTTTCTTTTCCAGAAAATATAAATTATCAATGTATTTTATACTTGTCATTTTTGTAATACTAATATAATCTGTAAAAAGAATAATTTCTTTTCCTGAAAAATAATATACAAACATTTATGTTAACTTGATAATTCACCATTTAGTGTACCGATATATTAATAACATATCTCTCTAGTAACAGATAATTCTAAGTATATATTTATATTTTATACATAAAGCATAAATATATGATGGTAATATTTTTTTTATAAACATGTACAATGTATTATGACAAAAGAACATATTCGTGAAAATATTATATATCTATAAAATTAAATAATTATCTTGTTGTATAATCAAAAAGTTTTAAATTTAAAAAAGTGCCACTTTTATTAACTAGGTAATAAAAAGATCTATTTTCTATTTTAAGTGGTAGGTATATTCCTCTATTATCTCTTCTGTCTGCGGTGCACTTTACCTTAAAACAAATATCTCAAATATAAGAAATATTTCATAATAAAATAATTTTATAATTTTAATTTTTATATTCATGATCTAAAAGTATTATATGTATATTATTAATATTACGTACATGAAATTAATGTGTGTATATTAAATATTATAATTAATTTTATATTTATAATATATATACATATATATTTTTATATTTATAAAATTACGATTTGTGTTGGACCGTCGATATTTAAAAACGAGTAAATATGATATGTAATCGGCCAAATGACGGTCAAGCAGGATTTTGGTTGCTAATGTAATGTAAATTTACAAATGTAAATAAAATTCACACATTACATTAGCAACCAAAATCCTGCTTGACCGTAATTTGGCCGATTACATATCATATTTACTCGTTTTTATATTTACAATTATTATGTAAATGATTCTTACCATTCCTACTGGTAAATTCAGTTTGGATTTCTTCTTTAGCACATGATTAGTAATAATTGAAAGTGTTTTACCACCTTTATTTAAAATAATATACTTGATGCTACGAGCACATATAGCATAAGTGTAAATACAGATAGAAGGACCTGTAAAATAAATACATCACTCCCAAGAATAAAATCTATTTGCTCTATTTTATATAAAGGATTGCATAGCAAATAAGATAAAAGAATAAATCTTCACATATACATAAAATAAAACATAAATCTTTATATATAAAATGTTGTTACGTATGAATATAAAAGATGACTTACCTATTAAAATTGCAAAGGAGAACATAGTAAATCGAAGTATGTTGTTCAGCCAATATTCCTTTAGATCTACATCAGCATTCCTTATATCCCAGAAAGTTGGAGTATAACTATAAAAACCCAATACTATACAGCTAACTAATTGTGCAACTCCAAAAATTTGCAAATTTCGGAAATAAACATTCTTTTCATATTTGTATAAAATTACATTGTTCTGTACATTCGTGTTTACATCCAATTGTGACATTTGTCGACGCTGTATTAATAAATTTTTTTCCAATTTCTTAAGTTTAAAGAAATTTGTCCGTTGTGTTGCTCCATCAGATAATCTAGATTTTTATTTATATCACTCTTTATAAGATTTTCATATAATTGTAAAATATACAGGAAATCCTAGAGTGATTGTCATTAATTCTAGTTTCAATTCAAAGTTAATATTTTTTAATGTAATGTACTTAAATGCTATTAATTTTCAAATAGTCAAAACAATATTGACACTTTGATATACCATTCTACTTTTGTTTTTTTTCTTTCATTTATAATTATAAAAGAAGGTAACAACAACGATCAAGAATATCCTGTATATATTTGTACTAATATTTTTTTTGAATAATTATTGATTAAAACATATTTTTAGATATATATATATATGTATATATTACTCTAAAAAAGTATATTTTATCAAAAGTTTTATTATAATATGTTTTTTTACCTTGTACATTTTGTTAGAAACATTCTAACAGCCATTGCTGCTGAAAATATATTCTTGTCATGTATAAAATATTTTTGTGTTATTCCATGGACAGATCGAACTTGAGTTAATAAAGTTTTAGGAATAATAAAAGGATATCTCAAAACTAGGTTCAACATTTTAAAACGGTTTTCGTTCTACGTTGTCACAAAAGGTAGCTCTAGAAATTTTATAAAATGTTAATTCGCTTTTAATATAATTTTCTATACATAAAAATTTTATTTTTATTTACAAACATTTACTTTAATTTTCTTTTCTTTTCATTATATATAATTGTAATGAGGTAATATTGAAGAAATACATGTATACATATTATTCTCTATGATTTTTTATATAAAAAATTATACATAAAATTATATTCTTACCAAATACTTCTTGCGAATACTGCAATCTATACAAATATGAATTTTTATTTATAAGTAGTCAATTCAATAGTGCAATCATAAATAAACTTTTCAGACTAGGTTAAGAAGAAAAGTAAACACGAGGATCTGAACTTTACAGCACTTTACAGTTAAATGTCGTACTTTCTGCACCTAAAATAAGATAAATACAGAGTTAAGAGAAAAAGAGAGAGGATTAAAAAATTACAAAGCGTTCAATGCAAAGAACGACAAAGGACAATCCCAATTGTTTAACTGTGTTTTCAAGTGCAATAAAGTAAAATAAAGTGTGAGTAGAACGAACGAAATCTATTTACGTTTCATTCGGCGCTCACGCACCTGCGCGAGCATCGTTTGTCCTTATTTAACATCAGATAAACAAAGAATGAAATGATTTCGAGAGTATTGCGAGCGTTAAGTGGTGGTGGTCGTGGTGTGGAGCACAATCTCTACTTTCGTTTTTTACATTTGGATTTCTAGCTCTTTTTATCTTCAAGGTCTATACATTTAGAGAGTAGTACAAAGTGTGTAAAGCGGAGATAAAAGAAACTTGAGAAACAGTCTAGTTCGTGGTGTCGTAATCGCGGAGCGAGGAAATACGTTCTCTTACATAAATATCAGAGAATCAGATCAATCGAATCACGGGGCGTTCCAAAATTCATTGAAAATTAACGCGTAAACTTTTCCGTTCATTTTTACGTTGGGGGCACGAATTGGCACGGACGCGTTCAAGATGGAATAGCTTCGTATCGTATTTTTACCGTACGTGCAGGTGTTGCGCGACGCGCGAATGACGCGATGCATTCGTTCGTGAACAGCCGCAGGACGCGGAGAGTGGCGGACTACGCGGGCTTGTACGTGAATTCTCGTGAATTCTAACCAATCTAACCTCGGTGTCAAACTCGCAAATTATCCTTTGACGTGACAACAGTGTAGCGCAGCTGTGACAGATCAGCTGTTCCAGTAAATAAACCGCGATGGACGACGACGTCGAGGATACCGCAAGGGACAACCGGCCGTCCGACGAGGACGTCAGCGAGTCGGATGACGGCAGCGAGTATTCGTTGCGTAGCGAGGGTGAATTCAACTGGTACATAATGTCGGACTCGATTCTCCTGAGCATCTTCCAGTATCTGACGCCGAAGGAATTGCTGACAGCGGGCGAAGTGTGCCGATCGTGGTTCAGAGTGTCGCGCGACGAGTTCCTGTGGAAATATTTATTTTATCGAACGTACAAGGTAGACCCGGACGTCGGCATCGTGCCAGGTATGTCTCGATCGCCGCAAGGTATTCGCGGCACTTTTACATACGCGATCGAAAATAACATTCTTCGCCGGATATCACGTGGAGAAAATATCAATTTATACAATCTACTTTTCGAGAAGATTCATTCAAGCTCGAAGCAAAATTGTTAGGCCGGTATTCGTAATCAGTTCTTATATTCAAGACCGTCTTAAGTTTAATTTTGGGCTGTCATCGACCAATCAGACAGCTGCATTAACGTCTTAATAGGCCTTCTACAATAAGCCGTAAGTCACAAATCATAAGTCATAAGCTAGAAATGGACCAATCACAGTCGTCAATTTTTATGGGCCTTCTACAATAAGCCGTAAATCACAAATCATAAGTCATAAGCTAGAAATGGACCAATCACAGTCGTCAATTTTTAGTTTCTTACTTCCGATTTATGACTTATGGCTTATTGTAGAAGACCCATAAGACATTACTTAAGACGGTCTTAAAATAAGAACGGACTGTGAGAATACCACCCTTAGATTCTAACTAAACGATTCTACATATGGTATTTGTAAAGATAATAAATATGAAAGCAATAATAATAGAATAAAACAAAGCAGCATTTAAAGATAAAGAAATATGTCAAATATAACAAAGTAAATGTACTTATCTTTTGTAAATGAGTTTGTAATTTGTAAATTTTTAAATATATTTAAATTAATAGTACATTGATTGTTGCTTTTTATATATAATGCTACTTTTGTTGTCATATATTCTTGTAAAACAATTTTATTAATAATACACATAAAATTTGTATATTTTTAGTTTTTATCTTTTGACAAATATAGTATTTTAGAAAATCTTTCTATGTGTACACATAAAAAAATATTATCTCATAATATTATAAAAGTTCTATACAAAAATTAATTTTTTATTATTTTATATGCATATGTATATATATTTCATCAACATTCTTTACATTTATTATTCTTTTATAGAAAAAACCTCCTGGTTAGGAGAATTCAAACGCTTGGCATATCACACTCCATTGATAGAAACTGAAGTTCTTAAAGAACATTCACATCAGGTCTTACACGTGAGCTTCTCCCATAATGGCAAAATGTTTGCAACCTGTTCAAAAGATGGATATATTCTTGTAAGATCTTCTTTCATTTTGCAGTTATTACTTTCTTTCGTGTACTTACACTTTATCACTCGTATCTTTTTGTTTTAGGTATGGCAGAGTCAATATCCTGTTACCATAAAATATTTGCATGATATGAAGACGTTTAGTTGGAAATATACACAATTTTCCCAGTTTAATTGTACAGATACGTTGCTTCTTGTGTCTGGTGTCCATTTTGGTACACCTCATAGTACTTCGGGTGAAATAGCAGTATTCAGAGTATCACGTAAGTGTGAGATTAAGATATTATATGTATCAATAAGAAAAAATAAAGATTTTAAAATAAAGCTAAAAAGATTATCTGACGATAGATTTTGATAAAAGAAATTATCTCGATTAAGTACATGCTTGTTTTCTGTCTGTAGCTGGTTTTGATCTCCAATGTAGAGTAGTGAATAAGCCATATGACATATTTGGTACATGGTACAGTGAACGTTACCTTTTAAGTGGGAATCTACATTGGTTGGCACATTTGGTTAGTACTAGTGTAGTTTGGCTTAATAAGGCAAATCAGGAATCAGCTAGCGAACACGTACCTATTATGACGCAACTCTTTAGGTAAAGTAACAATTCGGTATATTTTTTTAATCAATCTGAGTCTTTAATTCAATTTAACTTCTTGCTAGAATTACAAGCAAATTCTTTTTTAAATAGATTATATAATAATTTTGTTTTCACGCGGTTGTAATGATTTTTTTAGATTCTATAATGGAAATGCTTCCTCGATTAGGGCAATTATGGTTGCAAATTGTTTAGCACCTGTTCCGGTCGAATCCACAGAACAACAAAGCCAACCATCTTCCTCGAATACAAAAGAAGAAAGAGGAAATCCACCAAGTCATAAGGATTTGTTGTCTCCTTCAGGCGAATCTAATAGCTCACAAAGTCAGGAAGAACCAATATACTATATTTCATCATCAAGAATACAGTACGTGTAAATTTCTTTTTTTTTATGCACAATATGGTCCACTTAAATTGAAAATCTTGAATATTTCACTTAATATTTTTGATGATACGAAAAAATGTTTCAGACGAAAATGAGACGGTTTTGAGGGGGAAAATATTAAAATAGAGATATATATAAAAGTTAAATATACCTCCCAGGTCAAACAAATAATGAGCTATATTTGTTGTTACTATTAAATAAATTTATTACAATCGATAAAATTAACACAGAACGTTTCGACTTTACAAAGTCATCCTCAGCCGCACATAAAACCCCAATCAAATTAAAACGTTTACATATCGCAGACGCAAAAACAAATCGAAATTATAAACCATTGTAAATTCTCTAATAAATATAAAATACATCCTCACAGTCGCAAACTTTTATGAAACAATATAATCGCTCCAATATTCGATGGCAGTAGTCAATTTACTTGAACGATGAAAAAACCTGTTATAATCCATTCTTCGTTTATATGCGAGAAAGATTAATCCAAATGAAATTTCCAGTCCATTAGTCAAAATTAAAATACACAGAGCCATTATATGGATATCAAGTCGTCAAATTTGTATATGTAGGATGAAAATTATAAAGAAGATAATTATTCACTAAAAATTGCAAGTCAAATTATATACATCTTACTGTATGAAAAGCAATGTACAATTTTTAGTGAATAATTATCTTCTTTATAATTTTCATCCTACATATACAAATTTGACGACTTGATATCCATATAATGGCTCTGTGTATTTTAATTTTGACTAATGGACTGGAAATTTCATTTGGATTAATCTTTCTCGCATATAAACGAAGAATGGATTATAACAGGTTTTTTCATCGTTCAAGTAAATTGACTACTGCCATCAAACATTGGAGCGATTATATTGTTTCATAAAAGTTTGCGACTGTGAGGATGTATTTTATATTTATTAGAGAATTTACAATGGTTTATAATTTCGATTTGTTTTTGCGTCTGCGATATGTAAACGTTTTAATTTGATTGGAGTTTTTTGTGCGGCTGAGGATGACTTTGTAAAGTTGAAACGTTCTGTGTTAATTTTATCGATTGTAATAAATTTATTTAATAGTAACAACAAATATAGCTCATTATTTGTTTGACCTGGGAGGTATATTTAACTTTTATAATTTTGATTTTATATGAGCTGAGAATATTTATTAATTTTTTTTTTTTAGAGATATATATATACAAAAATCAATGTGTTTGATCTTTCATATTAATATGTGCCAGTATAAAGTATAAAATATCTCATAAACTGTTGAGATTTTTGTGATATTTTTACCTTTTATATGCAGAATAATTAGAGGAATCATATTATGTAAAAAAATTATATAATTGTTTTATTTAAAAAGGTACAAATGATCTTTATATCCTCTTAGCACTCCTACTTAAAAAAAGAACGACGTGACCGAAATACATACCTCTTGAAACCGTTCCACTTTTATATAAAGCATTTTTTGGTAAATAAGTAAAACATTCAAGGTTTTCAATTTAAGTGGATTCTGCGTACATGCGTATAACTTTTAAATACATTCTTATTAGATATTAATATACATAATATAAATAAATATATATATATATGTATGTGTGTATACACATAATAGATATAGTAAATTAGAAGGTGCGTTTTCGAATTGGAGGAAACTTGGTGATGGTTTTGAATATGCTAGTCCTATACAATACAATCAGGAATATAGGCAGGTTGAGATGCAGAAGAAGGCACACGAAAGCGATAGCGAAAGTGAGAATCCACAATGGGAGGAAGAGAGCGAGTCTGGAGGTAGGAAAGTTACGCATGTAATGCATGGCAATAGGAAATAACTGTAATCGGTTATCCTAATCACTGTGTAGGACATGTTGACAAAAAATGAGTTTACAGAATCTTCAATAACCGAAGAATGTGATACAGACGAATTAGCCAATAATCCCGAAAAACTTCTTATTTTTACAACTGGCTCGAAAACATATACTCCGCACAAAGTTGGTTTTAAGAGGATCAAATTAGTTACTTTCCCACGAAGATTGGATCCAGGACCATCGCTGCGCGAGAGAATAGCTCAACAAAAAAGGGAACGAGAGAGACAGAATACTCCATCAGTAGAAGATTGGTTAAATTATGAATCTGTGGCGGATAAATTCGATAAAATAGATCATTTAATTGATCTTCATGGTCACATTATTGGAATGGGACTTTCTCCCGATCATAGGTCAGTTGTAGTTGTCATGTAGAATAAGTGTACTTGAGATATATATACATTTCATTATGCATATATTTGCAGATATCTTTACGTAAATTCAAGGCCATGGCCGAAAGGTTATGTTATTACCAATCCTTTACAACCACCACCGATAGCTCAAGAAATTGATATCCATGTAATCGACTTGGTAACACTGAAGCAAGTTGGCACGATGTTAAGGGCACACAAAGCATATACGCCCAATAACGAATGTTTTTTTATATTTCTGGATGTATGTAATGAATATGTAGCAAGGTAATTAATACGCTTGTGTATTTAATTTATTAATTTAGTCAAGATTTATCCTTTCAAAATATAAAATACAGTTATAAAATATCTTTGTTTGCAGTGGTGCGGAAGATAAACATGGTTACTTATGGGATAGACATTATGGAGTCTGCTTAGCAAAATTTCCCCATAGTGATGTAGTCAATTCAGTGGCTTTTAATCCACGTGATCCTGAGATGTTAGTTACAACCAGTGATGATTATACAGTTAAAATATGGCGAAGTCGGGCTATGGTGAAAGCTTTAGATTTAGATGAAAAGTCTTATCGTAGGGGGATGGAAGTACGAAAGAGACATAAATATCAGAAATGCGGCACTAATGTTGACTGATTAAAAACTATTAAACTTTTAATTTAAACCTTTATTTTTACAAGATCTTAGAGATATATTTTACATTTAAGTTTTAATATATACTATACAAAATCGTCCAGAATACTATTATTGCATAAAAGCACAAATATATAATAAGAATATATTTTTTGATTACCCCCCTGGGATTATGCAAATTACATATGCAAACTTTTGTTTTTTGATAATATAGAATCTCATTTTTTAAGTAGATGAGTACTTCTATTAAGTGCTTGAATTAATTCTCGCTGTTGACCGAGGTCAGTATTTGTGCTGTTTCAACATGGTCGAAAGTGACTGCTTATGTATATGAAAGTACTATTAATAGGCTTTAATAATCAGTATATAACATTTGATCGGAAGCAAAGAACACAATTTTTTATTGCATTAAAAATGTCGGGTTTTGTACAAAAAAAAGAGCATTTGCGGGAAGCGTTATTTTTCCCTTTTAATCTCAAGAAATTTGCTGCGACAGTCATCGTATGTTAGTGGAGGCTTACGAGGAGCAATCTCTCATCTGAAATTTGCAGAGATTGGTTTAGATTTAAAAACAATGATTTTGACGTGAATGACGAAGGGTGCCCTGGTCAGCCGAAAAAATTTGAAGATAGAGAATTGGAAGCATTCAAGAAGATATTATTATGTCAGATGCTCAGAGAGTTGTCGGAAATTGGCATATTCTATTAGATCTAAAAATATAAACCAAACAGATACAAGAACTCACTGAGCGCTCAGTGAGCAGTTGTGCTTCTGGATGCACCCATCAAATGTCGATGTGTCAATCGTTAGCAAACGTTTAAAAGCAATGGGAATGAGCCAGAAGTTAGGAAATTGGGTCCCACATGAATTGAGAGAGACATTGCAAAACGTTTAGTCATTTGTGAATTGCTGCTCCAAAGACAAAAACGGAAGTCGTTTTTGCATCGAATTGTGACTGCTGATGAAAAATGGATTCATTACAATTAGGATTGCCTAAACGCAAGAAATCATGGGTGCGTTCCAACGGACCATTAATATCAACGCCAAAACAAGATATTGATGGAACAAAGGTCATGCTGTACATTTGGTGGGATTAATGCTTAATTTCTTCACCTCTAGATAACCTTTATCTAGAAGATATCTCCCAGAATACAATGGAATATCTTCTGGATAAAGTTATCCGTAACTTATCTAGAAGTGAAGAAATTGGGCATACGTCGATGTCGTGTACTATGAACTGCTGCAATCGAGTCAAACCATCAATAGTGAATGCTACCGACGTCAATTACTCAATTTCGAGCACTCAAAGAAAAACGCTCGCAATACACCAAAAGACATGATAAAAGTTATTCTTCTTCATGACAACGCCAGATCACATGTTGCACAACCAATAAAGGAAATCTTGGAGGCACTTACAAACAATGGGATATCTTACCTCATCCGCCCTATTCACCAGACGTTGTTCCATCAGATTACCATTTGTTTCGGTCGATGCAGCATGGTCTTTCTCAGCAGCTTTTCAGTTATTTCGAAGATATCAAAAAATGACTCAATGACTGGAAAAAATCTGAATTTTTCTATCGCGGAATCCATTTGTTACCCAAAAAGTGGGAGGTTATAATTTTTGATGGACAATAATGTGAATAAAATATCAGGTACCTTTTTTGATAAAATGAGCACAAGTTTTTTTTAACAAAAAACAGCGAAAATTAATTCAAGCATCTAATATTTTAAAAAAAGTAGATAAATTACTAAGAATGTTGTTAAAAGAAAGAATATCATAAGAATATACTGTTGACACACGTCTGTTATGACAAAAAATTAGAAAATAACTTACGAAAGATTTTGAAATTATATCATTTACTCAAAGATAGATCATATTATCAAATTATTTTTAAATATTCAGAACTTGCAAACTAATATTAGATCGGTGATCTGCCTAATGATAAAAAATTGTCCTATCTACTTATTTCTATACTATGCACATTGATGATTTCTCAAGATGGTTTTTAAATGTCAGCTTAAAATTTATCTATAAAGCCTATATATAACTAGTTTAAAATTTATCTTTAAACGAAATTAAAAATTGAAATTCAATGAAAGTGTGCAATAAATATTAAGTTTTTCTTGTGGTTATAATTTTTATCAGTACAACTTTAAAATTTTGGATTTTCTTATTTAATCTATTCTGTATTTTATATATATTCGAAATATTTTATCTACCTATGCTTATATTAGATAAAGACAACAAAGAATAAATGTAAAAGTGCACTATTTTATAACTTTTTTTTATCATATATAATACGACATAATTACTTATAATTGTGACGTACACGACAATGTATGCCGTAATTTGTAATACATTATTTTATTTTTTTAGCTTGTATTATGAAGCAAATGCATTGTAAGAGATTATAAATGTAATAAATCTTTAAAAAAAAAATTAAATTTTGACATATATAAGTATTCCTAATTTTCCTTCATGTCAGAATATGATTACAAATTTTATTTAATAATAATGAAATATATGAATCAATATTATCGTAATTAAATTGTCAATATGCATCACAAAATAACATATATATCTATGTTTCTATATAGTACATAAAATTTAAATCTCTCTATATTAGGTAAATAGTAAATAACAAATAGTACATGTAAAGAAAATAACATTAATCAGAGGTGAACATACAAGGAATGATGAAATTACTTCTCAAAGAATGTTGAATAATTTACTATTCGCAAGATCTATATAATAATTAACAATTTGAATAATATTTTATAATCTTCTGTGCGATTAAAGCACTGTAATATAAGTACATATACTAGTGCAAAATCATATTTAAAGTTTGTGTACCTAAAACGACAACGCAACATGACTTCATCTATATTATTTAATATCTTAATTATTGTCTTATGTAATTATTATCTATTTAATGTTTGTGTTATATATAATATTACTTACCTAATATCATCTTTTTCAGTATTACATACTTGAGAAATAATACAAAGGAATTTATTTTCCATTTAGAGAAAAGTTGTCAATAAGTAGATAAGCATAAAAACACTTATGTTGAACCTGTTGCAATCGGTTCTGTAAAAAGAATAAGATGAAAATCAGATAAAGATAACATATACAAATATATAAGTATATACGAATATATACTTTATTTGATCTATTATGAAAAATTTACCAGGATGTGACGACATTCCTTCTCGCGCAGGATCACCAGGCTTAGGTAAGACTTTCTTATGTGCATCTTTATGTCCGTGACAATGTTCGCATTCATCATCACTATCTTCAGAACTACTTTCACCAAAAGTTTTTGGTTTCTCATAAATACAACAACCTATAAAAAAATTATGTAATCAACTCTTTCTGATAAATGAAATCTAAAAGATTACATAAAGACAATAAATATTTACATTTTGATTTCTTTTTATTTAAATTTTCATTATCTACGGTTCCCTGAGTCCATTGAACCTTTTTATTCGATTTCGGCATTCGTAGACGTAATCGTACAGTAGGTACATCCTGTAAATAAAACAAAACATGAAATTTTCATATAAAATGCATTATTAAGGGCCCTCGAGCATATATCTATAGTTACTTTTTTAGATATAGTAAACGAGGAATTCTTTGCGACGTACTTGTAAAAAAACGATAGCACCTAGAACATTGAAAAAATTATAGGATATTCTTTGACATGCCCTTTGCGCGCGGAAGCGAGCTGAGATGCCCCCATAAGCTAGAACATGTGCAAAAAAATCATTTTCAGGAGCTGTCAGATAGCGATATATATAT